TTCTTAATTATAAGATGTGTAAAAACACTAAATAAAAATTTATGCAGCGCTTTCCTTTTTAACAAAAAAAGAACCTGAAGGAATTTTGAAGGAAACTGCGCTCAAATTTACATATATTTTATTTTTTCTGACTAACCGATTACGGATTTTGTAACCAATTAGCATCGTTCCGATTGATTAATCGATTAACTGGTTACAAATTGCCATCCCTACAACAAATATTATAGTCATATATCTTTCTTTCGCTCTCTCTCTCTCTTTGTATACCAATTAATCTCTTACCTAGGTGAAGAGGTGTATTTCCAAGAATGTCTTTCTGATTTGGATCTGCACCTTTGTCCAGCAAGGCTTTAACTAAATAAATGGTGAATACCATATTAATAATAAACAAATATCACAATATTCATAAAAAAACACATGGACATTTGCCACAAATAAAAACAAAGAAATATTTTCTATACTTCTATCTAAAGATTTAGTAAAATTAACTATAAAATTAGGACAGCAATATCAAGAAAGACAACTCCATATTCCAACTTGAATTTTTGTGAGTTTAATTTCCTGTTCAAATGCATCGTCGCAAACCACGACCAAAATGTACGATCCTCTCCCATTCTGGCCGTGTTTGAATGAGGAGAGAATTCTTTCTAGCTCATTAACATATTGACCAACGTGAGAAAAGCATAGTTGGATGATGAACTTTATCGCGACCTTTTAATATCCAATCGCAGTACAGGAAATATTACTTGTATATTGTTGACAACATTTGTTGATTTCAATTGCGATGGAAACAAAACTCGCCACTGACTGAATATGACGTCACAATAGGGAGGCATAAATATTCATGATTACGACACTTTTTGTGATCAAGCAGCCACGGATAGGAGAGAGCTATATATGTGCGGACTCTGGACCGTGGCTTGAGACGATGGTTCAAATGAAGCCTTCCAGTTTGACTTACCAACTTTTTCATATCCCTGAGATGAGGCAAAATGGAGAGGAGTTCTTTGTTTGTTGTCTGAACAACATGGATCTACTCCATCTTCAAGTAATTCAACCACTGGGGATAAAAAAATCATTGTAAAATAAAATGTCAATGTCTTTTTGTACTTTTTTTGAATAATAATTGTAAATGCTTCAATATTACCTGCATTAAGGTCATTCTCATTAGCAGCATTCTGTAACCTTCTTTCATCTTAAAAGAACAAAAATGAATTCATCCACAAGTAAACAGCTAACCATCAGATTTTCCTGCAATTTGTTTGTTTAAGTCATGTTTTCTCTTTAGCCATTTTGATTTTTTTTTTTTATCATTTAATAATGTACATGTGTACAGCGCTATGACAAAAGTATTCACGATTTTTCAAAATGGCTACTAAAATTCCTCAATGTTTTTACTTGGAGATCCAAAGTCCTTTGCTTTACCTGCAATATAGTTTCCTACAGTGCTGCTACATTTGAATTTCTTCTGTCTCTGCTGCCTATGTGTTACACTGACTTTGACCTTCCCTGGTGTGTCTGTCTGTCTGTAGATGGGCTTGTAAATCGCTGAGAAAGGGACAAGACACAAAAAGTCCAGACCAGACCCTGCTTCTGGTGACCAGGCAGTAAAATCTACATGGGGGAAATTGCTGGTATTCCCTGTATCCCCTGATATCTACAAAAACGTTTTTAAATAAATTTCTTTTTGTAAAATTTTAATCATAACCCACTTAATTTGCCACCTAGTTAGAAATAATTGCTAAAATTGTCAATATACGTATACTTCCAGCTGAGAAGATGTTTAGAATGCAAAAATCATAAATCGAAATGGAATTTGTACAAAAGTTGTTTCCCTTCGCAGGGTCAACCAAAAAGTCAAAAGGGAAAGAAACAATATTTCTCCTCTTTATGCTACCAAACATTTGGGTGGGCTTTGATGAATCCACTGTGTTTCAATTGTTTTCTTTGGATGTGTGGGTAGCCCCAACATGGGGCAATCAGTATACAGTATGAAACGATTTTTCCCAGTCAAATGACGAAGTTACAAACCTGAAAACTACAAAGGGTACTGTGAGGATTCTATGGGTTTATCCCCTAAAATGGCAGCCAAGGGACATAACTTTTGAAAAGTGTGGATTCAACTATTGATGTACAAGCAGAAAAGCTGCTTCTTGTTGTTGAGAATAAAGAGATAAATACAAGGAAGGATGTGTATTTTCATATGGAAGTCTCAAATTTTTATCCATGGCGATTTAAATTTTACAGTTTTACACCGCATTCAATATATATTTTTACTATTTTTCTCACATTCGGACAATTATTTTATTTTACACCCTACATTGCCCATAACCAGTGATAACAGTCTGTCATTTGTTTACACCGTCCCGTTTTGGTCGTTTATTATTTTTTTTTAAAAATATTTCAATAATGGACGCGTAAACACCTTAAGAAAAAAAGAAGAGTGAAAGCGATGTTTTTGATCCCTGTATTGCTATGTATGCATATTATATTACTAAACAGAAAGCAAATACTTTACATACTTCAAAATTTTCATCGCTGTCATCACTCATCGCTTTCTGTTTTGAAAGTAAGCATTTTTGGAATCTCGTGCCCGATCAGAATAGCTTTGTTTCACGTAATTTCAATGTTCTTTATCTGAAAATATAATTACCCGAATAAATATCAGTTTGCTTTCATGAGCACAATGGCAATGAATGGGGATCAACTAGGAATTATGTAGACCCAGTCCACAATAATATCAATTCAACAGCAATACCAAAGATGCCCCCCCCCCCAAAAAAAATCAGCACTTAGGTACTTTTTAGTCATCTTTCGACATAATTACTGGCTCGTTAATTTAGATTCATATCAAAGAAAACACTCAATTTTCAATTTCTTTATTGCAAAAGATGAACGTCTTATAGCATTAATTGATACAATTTATAAAAAATGAAATAATCGAAAATGGACGGTTAGTCCTTGTAAATCCATATCAAACACATTATATACATACAAAATTTATATTTCGTATAAATGAAATCAACAAAATTAAGTGTTTTTTGATGACAACTCAGCTTTATGTACTGCTATCAGAGTAAAGTCTGTTATCTTACCAGAAGACCCATATCATTTTTTCTTTGTATGCAATAAGTACCAATATGCTAGAGATAAACTAATAAGAAATTTATTGTGTCTTACTAGACCAAATACTACATTGAATATTATTGATTGCCACTTACCTCTGTTGGGAGATGAGTCGCAAAATGTGGAAGTCAACAAACATATTTTTCAATCAGTTCAAAAATTTATAAGAGATTCTGGTAGATTTAATTCATTATTACAGCCTAACACTTAAACTCTTGATATAGTTATATCATGCGTAACGAATGTATGCTTTTAAAACAAACATGATTGTTTATCAGTATTTTTTCCTCCTGTTTCTTCCTATGCATAGACATTGACCGTTGTAGCATTTTATGGCGAGAACCTCGTAAGTTGTTAGAACTTGTGTTCAAACCATTTGTATAGCATTTATACAATAAAATAGCGGTATGTTCAAACCATCACTCAACGTTGAATATGTAAATCTAGCTTCCATTCGTCAAATCTTAAAAAAAAAACAGTCATTGCGTTGAAGTCCTGTGCAATAAAATTCTTAAAAAGATACTACAGTAGGTAGTATTAATTTTCTTGAAAAATAAAAAAAAAATACAATCACAAGTTAAGAGGGAGTGTTTATTAGTTGTGGATGTTAATCGCATTAAAAAAAAAACTAAGAAAAAAAATAGTCGTTCGTCGAAAAATCAATACGCAGCTTTTTCGAAAAGTCTTGCAACACAATGATGTATTCCCCATTTTCAAAAGGTGAGTTATTTCCCCTGAAGCGAACTCTTTTACTGTTTAATACGCATGCGCTATTAATAAAGTCACTTCCGCGGACGTTTTTGATGTCAACATGTTCATTGTGTATGCCTCTGTCATATGGAAAAATGTTATTGTGTTTGTGAATAAAAAGAAATCTTAACTGATTCGTATTTTTTTTATTAAATTGCCCACTCATAGTCTCTTTCTGGATTTGTATTAATCTGCGTAGTACTATAATAAGGTGCTGTGTGACCCCCCCCACCCCCCCCCCCCCCCCTTACAAAAAGAACGAAACAAATTACCGATAAAATGCTGCTGATACATATTCGAATAGGCCTTTTTTTTTTTTTTTTTTTTTTTTTTTTTTTTTTTTAAAAAGCTAATATTCGGTAGTGGATGTTCTGTAGACGGATCATCATTATTTACGAAATGTGCGGAACAAATTTTTAGTTATAAAGTTTTTACGAATAAATCTAGCCTGCTGCAGCCATATTTTCTTTGTATCTCTAGGAATTTTTTGAAAACTGATAACATGTCCATCTACAGTTTTACCTCTGAAATTGCTGCATATACAGCAGTAGTTCGTCTTCCGTGACCGATACCAAGAAACTGCGTTTTTGCTCGATTGTATGTCATAACATAGAACTTTTACGTACAAGAACACAATTGGTGACAATTAACGGCCTATTTCATTTGAAATAACCGTGTTTCTAGAATTTTTTATTTGTAAAATAATTGATTCACTATAAAGTATTAAAACTTTGAATGGAATTCTAAATGAATAATTTAATCTCATGTGCTCATGTAACGAAGAAAGACTTATTAAAATAGTTTCGACCTGAATTCGTGTTACATATGTCGTATAAAGTCTGCCGGAGCTGCATTTAATCAAACTTTTAGTGTAGGATCTAAGCATATGTACATGTATATTCCCGAGTAAAATACACATTTTGTTTTAGATCAGAGAATTGATAGCAGAAACACGAAATTGATACAATAATTTCCTAGCGTATTTCTCGTTAATTAACGGAAAACATTCTTTTCTCAAGTGTTATTTATTTTTTTAAAATCCTTTCAGTGTAAGTACATGTATTTATTTTTATAAGTTATTCTTTTTTTGCAAAATGTGTAAAAAAAAAAAAAACAATATCAGAGAGAGAGAGAGAGAGAGAGAGAGAGAGAGAGAGAGACTCCGTGTAACTGACATACATGTACATCTGTGAAAAAATATATATGTACCGTAATTTTATTGAATTCACAATTAATAATTCTAATAATTTTTAATTTTCACAACTATGGTTCATATTCAACTGTTCAACCCATTTACATATTCTCTGTACCTGTACGCACGGGGGGAGGGGGGGTTCAAGGGGTTTAGCCCCACCCCCACTTTTATCCCAATATTACTATGTTCATTGATAGACAGGTTGCCAACCCCCCCCCCCCCCCCCCCCACACACACAGTTTATACTACGGTAAAGTTATATAAGGGAAATGTAGTATCGTATGCCAAGGAACTGGTACTGAAATAAATAGCTTTTTCAACTTTGGGCAAGGTTTTTCTTTGCTTGTCAACTTTTCCAGGTAAGAAAAAAATATTTCTTTGGCTACCCCCCCCCCCCCCACCTTTAAAGACGATATTACGTGCCTGGCTAATTCGTATAGCTTTCTAGAAAGGGGGGGGGCTAACAGACTCTTTATAGAATAATTTATTATCTAAAAAAATGCAAACCGTTTCCTTCTTTTAAAATTTTTAAATACAACGTATAAGTTGATCACTATTTTGTTGGATTATCGTAACGTGTAGTCCGCGGAAGTTAGGCTAGTGTAGAAGAGTTCCGATTTTGAGGGGAGATAACTCACTTTTGAAAATGGGGAATACGCAGATTCATATCACGGAAAACAAATACATTGTATTCATGAGGTTTGTATACACATAAATTCCTTTAGTCTGTTTTTGAAAAAAAAAAAATTCCAGAACATACAATATATCTAAATGAAGTGTTGACTTTTTAACCATGTTTCGAATTCAAGTGGACCTAACTTATTTGGATTGACATTGCATTTTTGTCCAGTGCGATGAAGCGCAATTACATTGATTTCTCATTCAGATAAGCTGTATCAATTCTCATGCCAAAAAATGCATTCCTCAGTCAAAGAGGAGTATTATTTCTTCTGGATGTTTTGCACAAAGAAAACTACTCGTTCGATGAAAAATTAACAATAAGTAAACTTGTTGCAAAGTCCTGCGACTCAATTATATACTGATTGTTAATTCTGAACAAATACTAAAGAAAATGTGAATTCCAGTCCTCTTTTCCCCTTAAGCTTTCTTTCAGATCACGAAATAAAAAGAGTAAGGATTCTCATCCAGATTATGGATTTCATTCTGGAAATGAAATGATTGAATTTATTTTGATTGGACAATTTGCCATTGATTGGACAATATTGCCAGGTAATACAATGCGCATGCGTTGCATTGTATTGCATCAGAGTGCAGCATGGTCCCATTAGAAGAAACACTCCCCCACCATCCAGCCTTTCAGACATCCTATTTATACATTTTATCTAGTGCGATTGAATACATGTTGTGAAATTTGCATAATGCAACTTTGTTACAAAGTTCGATAACTCAAAGTATGGCCCTTTGAACAACGTGAGCAAAACGATCTTTGCTCTCTGCTTTTATATTATGCAAATGTTTGGACAAAACTAATGGATGACAAGCTTATATACTATATAAGACTTTAGAGAGTCCCATATAAATAGTCTGAGAAAATAGGGGTGATGTTGGGTGAAAAGTTTGATTTTAGTGTGAGTTTCTCTCACTACACAATTTCTGCTAAGCATGACTGAAAATAGCGTTTAATTGTTAATCGGTGCTTTGCTTGATTGAGTCTCAAAATGTTCACTCACCAGTCATTCAGGAAAGTTCATTTGATTTTTCCGAACAAGTATATCAGAGTTCTTCTGAAGAAGACTGAATTTGAAAGATAGAAAAGTTCATGAAATCGTAGTACAACGAATATGGACCAAGTTTTTGTTTTAGATAGATAGTGCGTCAATTATATTGCAATGCAATGCAGTGCCGTTATATCTTTATGTTAGGGCAGAACCAACTAGCTTGCAATTATTAAAGAAATTTATTCCACACAAAGTTTCCTCTGAATGTTTTGCATGATATACTCAAGTTTATTTTCGGACAAAGAAATCAGCAAAATTAAGTGTTGTTTGATGACAACTCACTCAGCCCTAAGTACTGTTATCAGGGTAAATTCTGTTATCTTTCCTGGTGAATATCTGCACTTCTCTCAAAATTTCTAATTGTCAATTAAACTCGAGAATTCTATTCTTGTACCTAAGTAGTGGTTTGACTGAGCACTAAAGCCTTTCATAGTCATCTTTCAACATAATTACTGGCATGTTAATTTAGATTCACATTAAAGAGAACACTCAAAGTCGAAAATGTGACTCTAGCTTCTATTCAGTCTCTTCGTCAAATCTTTTTAAAAAGACATTGCGTTGAAGTCCTGTGCAATAAAGTAAAAGTAAATTCTTGGTAAGATACTACAGTAAGCAGTGTTAATTTTCTTGAAAACATTCCAGAACATACAAAAAAATGGAGTGTTGACTTTTCAACCCTATTTTGAATTCAAGTGGACCTTACTTATATATTATTGACATTGCATTTTTGTCCAGTGCAATACAGCGCAGTACATTCTCATTAAGATAAGCTGT